CCGCAACTTTGGCGGCATCTGCAAACATACCCTGCTGCATGAGGTTCTCGAAGCGGGCCTGGTACAGCTGGTCGGCGCCGGGCAGTCCACCACGCGAGGCGAGCTTGTACGCGATATCCGCACATGCCGGGTTGTCCATGATGTACGGGATTATGACATCCTCCTTGACAAGAATGTGCAGGATCTGGCCGCGCTTGTTGACCACAACAACACCCTGGCCTTCGTCGTCGCGTGCGGTTGTGAAGACCGTCTCCTCTGATATCCGGTTCAAGTACAGTGCTGTGCCAGTCTCGAGATCGTGGAGGTGGATGAAGCCGAACTTTGTGATGATCATGACCAGGCCGTACTTGTTCGCAATGTGGATACCGAGCGGGAAGTCGCCGTTGCTCTCCGCCGGCCAGTGGATGGGGATGAGGCGCTTGGGGAAGGCGGGATTTGCGGAATTGTGGTCCACCTCCACGATGTTGAGCTTGGCCTCGCCCGAGGCGGCGCGCACAGCGAATGCAAACACCTTGGTGTCGGTGGATGCGCCGTCGAGGCGGATGGTGCCAAACGTCGCCGCGTGGCCTTCGAGGGGCTGGCTAACGTTCCGGGCCTTGGAGAACAGCTGCATGTTGCCCTTGATGCCGCCGGCGGGGTTCGACGCGATTCCGACCAGGCACGCCCAGCTCTCGTCGTCGTTGACCACATAGTTGATGATTTGGTTGTTCTATAAAAAGTTAGCAGGCAAAAAGCAACTTGCACCACGCAACATACCTCGAGCTGCTCCTGGCGGTCAAAGATCTTGGTCGGAGTGATGGCCTTTGCGCCCAGGACATCCCAGTGCCACACGCTCCGGTTGGTGACCAGCGCGAGCGTCGTCTGGCTGACCCACTTCCAGAAGGTGATGTCCTCCTCGTGCGTGTATGTCTGCAGCCGCTCCTTTGTCTCGAGGTTGAACAGCTGGACGGTCCGTGACTGGGCCTTGAGCGCGATGATGGGTTCGGTCAGGTGCATGATGGCGCTGTCGGCGCGGATTGGCCGCCGCATGACATTGTTGGTGTTCTTGAGGGACACAATGACCGTCTCGGCGGGCGAGTTGTCGTTGGGCGTCTGGCGCACGCAGACCCACGAATCGGACTGGAGCGTCTGCGGAGGTTGTCAGCGCCGGTGGCCCCTCGGCAGCAGCATGGGGAGAGAGTCACTTACGCAGTTTTGCCATGTTATTGATGATGGCTGCGCGGTCAGTTAGCTTGCGTCTGCCTGGGCGCGTCGGAGCGCAGGTGCGCGGCAGGACAACATACGAGGATGTTCAGGTTGGTGAGCTGCAGGGAGCGTGCGTTAGTGGCTGTCAATTCCTTTGATCAATCCTGGGAGTGCTCACCAGCAGCGGCTGCAGGACCCTCAGAGGGATTGGCTTCGCCATGTTTGCGACTGGAGAAGCTCCGACCTCACCGGGCGAGCGAGCGGGCTACAAGGGGGGTATCGTAGAAAGAAGACTATAGAAGCAGGGCAGAATTAGACCCGGATGCAGAACGCCAGAAGCGCGCAGAAAGGAAGTGAGAGAGTGTCGGGAGGAGATGGCGGAGGCTGCGGGTTTGTGGGTGGATGTTTTGTGGAAAGGAGCTCTGGGGCTATTTCCTACGTGGAACTAACGCCCGGGGCTGGCACGTGACTCGGGGGTCTTGGCCTCCAACATCAAACAAACCACCACGCGCAGCTCTAGCCGTCTCGCATCAAACACGTCATTGTTGGGGCAAGGGCAAACGCTGCAGACAGGGTTTTCGAGTTGCTTTCTTTCAAAGGCAGCATCTATCTTCTACAGTTCTGGGAACACGCAGCTGAGAATCGTCCACGACTTCAGGGGTAATGCGGCGTGCGACGGTCAGCATCGAGAATTCAAACTTTGCAGAGCATCTGCTCATTGGAGGAGTGATGCTATTTCCGTCCCATAGTGTATCATATGGCACCCTCAGAATTGTCGTCTTCCAAACGCTGAAGCTCCAAGTCGAGTCTGTTCGCCGCTCCCTATCCATATGTCATTGATATGATGGGGAGCAGTGCCAGTCATCATGAGTAACAGACCCTCGCACGTGCTAGTTATATCATACCGGGTCAGGAAAAACATTATTCTCTCAGTTGCAGGTGGATTTTCTAGACGGGCCTGGCAGCACGATACAGAGCAAGTGTTGTGTTCACTTGTGAATGTATGCTTGCCCAATCCGGTATACCTACCATCACCAACGTCAAGCCTATTGGATGAAGCCGCTAGGATGCATCAATCCGTCCGCTTGCTTTTCCAGATTCCTCAAGCTTTCGGAGAAGCTGTTTGCTCCCCGCTGCATTACCGGTCACAATTCGGGCAGTAGTACAAGAGAAGAATGACAAACAAACGGTGTTCTCAAATGGTACATAGCATGCCCCTCCACTGCTGAAAACGTTGAGTATGGAATTGCCAACTGCTCTTCCGTTGAGGTTCTCTAGCTCTTGCTCGCAATATCAAATATCTGTACTCTTCGGATGATGTCAGTCTTCATTCCAAGTACACAGCACTGTGACTGTGAGGGGTTATTATCGGCGAAGAGTGAAGAACACAAGCACGTGTTAACAGTCGTTCGGCAAAATCTATGGACAAACTGCGTATGTATGGATTCCAGACCAAGCCAGAACCAGGTATCCCGGCCCGAATACCACCACAGATCTGGAAAAGATCCAGCACGATGTTGTGCGATGAGGGGTGACGGATGGGTGACATCGCTCAACACGCAATGGCGCACGCTTCCACCATGAAAAATTGCACTGTCGTCATCAAAATAGGCGAATGAGAAATAGAGCGACAGGGCTGGATTTCAATGTCTCGACAACGTGCCGCTGGTTGGGCAGTCATGATTTTGGTGCAGAGCCGGAAGCGAAGGGCAGTCACGCCGGCCGCGCCCAACCCGACCTTTGTCTCACAGACGCGCTCCGTCTCCGTAATTTGACGCTTTCCTCCTCACTCCACCCGCACACCCACCCACGACGGCCAAAATTGCCCTCGCACACGCCAGCACCGCCAGCAGCACCCCGCGACCGCAGCCAGCGACAGCAGCACGCTTCACCACCCCTCCGCAATCATGGCTCCGTCAAAATGGGGTACGTCATTTCGCTTGTTCCCCCTGTGCGCAGTCGCCAGATGGCCTCTTGCGCGTCGCCGCAACCCCATTTACTCACGACTTCTTGCGTAGACGATGAAGAAGAGGAGAGCACGCCTCCATCCTCCCCGCCCCAGGTGGCTCTTGCCCGCCGCAGCAAGTTCGACGATGAGGAAGACGACAGCGATGTAAGTCGGCGCCGCCCCACCCCGCCCGTCCGCCACCAGGCACCCGCCAGCATCGCCAGCTTCGCCAGCATACTAACATGTCCGCCCACAGGTGCTAGAATCATGGGACGCCGCCGAGGACTCGGAAGTCGAGCGCGAAAAAGCAAAAAAGGCCGCAGAGGCCAAAGCGAAGGCGGATGCCGAGGCCAAGGCGAACCACAAGTCGCGCGCCCAGCGCATCGAGGAGAAGCGCCAGGAGAACCTGCGCCGGCGCCAGCTGGAGGACGAGATGTCGTCGGATGAGGACGAGGACGAGGCCGAACGCCGCGCGCGCCTGCGCAAGACGGAGCAGGACTCTGACCTCAAGCACGCCGAGGACCTGTTTGGCGACATCGGCGTCAGCAACAAGCGCGGGGCCGGCAAGCCCGTCACCATCGCCGACGCCAGCGACCCCAACAACGTCGTCGACCTGAGCGCGCTCAAGCTCTTCAGCCCAAACACCAAGGACCAATTCGCCAAGCTGCGCGAGACGCTCGTGCCGCTGCTCACGGCCAACACCAAGAAGGCGCACTACACGCTGTTCCTGCAGGAGTTTGCCAAGCAGATTGCAAAGGACCTGCCGAGCGACCAGATCAAGAAGATTGCGTCGGGCCTGACGACGCTCAGCAACGAGAAGATGAAGGAGGAGAAGCTGGCCGAGAAGGGCGGCAAGAAGTCCAAGGCGGCGAAGACCAAGACCAGCCTGGTGGCCACGCGCGATGTGAGCTACAAGGCGGACACGGCCACGTATGAGGAGGACTTTGGCGAGTGAGTGTTTGGATTTGAGACTGAGTAGGAACAATGCTAACCCCCACAGTGACGACTTTATGTGAACAACGACACGACTCCCTTGGCCTCGCGACGAGCTCATGTCCCTCGCCGACTTGTGCCTGGACGGACATGACGCTGCATCCACCCATCCACCCGCGCCGCATGCCAGCCGTGCGCGCCCGCCCCATCCCCCTCGTCTCCATCTCTTTCCCATCTCCAAGTTGAACATGTTAGTACCCTGCTGCGCCGGCGTTCCGGCTCTCTTTCTGGCTTTAGCCTGCTCCGTCTCCCTTTTGTCGTATCTTTCCCATTGCATGTCCTGTCTGCTTCTTCATTCCCCCGTTCAAGACTTTGCTTCGATGGTCCGTTTGGATCGCTCTCGGGGGCTTGCGTAGAGGATTGTTCTGTGGTTTTGCATGGTGGGGTGGAGGGTTTGTATGTAGGGGAGGAGAGGAGGAGAGCAGTACAGATAGATGGCGGTAATGAAAGTGTATGGATATTGATTGTTATGTACAGGGTGTTGTGGTTGCTGTGATGTTTTGACGGTGCGAGGGGGTGAGGCGTGGAGGTGATGAATATACCTGATATGTACCATCATGTTGACACTACAGAAACCCTGTAGCTAGCTAGACAGCTCCTGGAGTATTGTGACTGGACACAATGAGAATGATGACCATCCCATACCACCCACCACCCTCCCAAATAAAAAACACCATGTTCCCCATGCTGCTGACCATCCAATTCACAACTCAACACCACTCAAACATGATCCCAAAATCCCATTCCATCCCTTCCTAAATACCAGTAGACATGCTACGTACCCTACCCCAAAAAGCCAGGCCCAAGAAAACCTGCTCAACCCTACCCCCCACAAAAAGATTTGAGAACAAAAAAGAGTGAAAACTAGAGGTATTGCACCCTCCGGGAGTCGAACCCGAGCCATTTGCTAGCCTGTAAATGGAAGGCAAATATCCTACCGCTGGACCAAGAGTGCTGGATTTATAAATCTGGGGATGGGGAGGGATATATATGTGGGAATTGGGGAAAGGGGGAGGGAGAGCGGGGAGAAGATTGGTTGGTACTGAGGAGGGTAGAGGGGTTTGGGACGGGCGTTGGATAACTAGTGGGGTGGGCGGGGTGCACGGAGGGAGATTGTGGGATTGTGGGGTTAGTTCGGGGGAGGCTCGGGGGTTGGGCAGGGATATATGGGGACTTGACATGTGGTGTGGTGTGGTGTGGGTGTGGAGAGGAAAATGTCTTTCATAGCCTATGGAATAGGATAAGTGGTCAAGCGTATACTGGCTGCTAATGATGCGTACTTGTAAAGATAGGCTTTTAGGCTGGAGGTGGGAATGTGCTGCTGTACACCTATATGCAAGATGGTCAACTCTTGTGACCGGACGAGCCGATGGGAACATTGAGGTTGGAAAGGGAATGCAATTGCTATCTCAAGCCAAAAGCCGTGGAAAAGGGGGATGGAAAAAGTACGCGTTACCAGAGTGTCGGGCAGTTGGGTTCTTATGATTGAGTGTTGGGAATCTCGCTGCTCGGGGCTCCCCACGAGGACTCCTTTTATGCAAAGTAGTAAACACCGCATGAAAAGTTCATAGAAATCCGGAATGAACAGTAGGACTAGGGGTAATCGTCTAAACATTCATCTACACTCAGCTCCCTAAGAAGAACCTCGGAATTCCACCAAAACTAAGCTTCGGTCGTCAAATCCTTGAAATATTACTCGGGGACGGAGATATTGCTAAATCAGGGGGAGGAGAGAGATACATCTTAAGACGACGGTTTCGTAGCAGATTGTTATGACAGGCATGAAGTGGAAAGGAGTGGGGATTGAAAAGAATGAGCTAATATACTGCTTCTCCCTATGACCTAACTAGAAAGCAATTAAGTGATCAAATTCATTATATACTATTCCTTCTGCGCACCCAAAGTGCAGGCCTTTACCGTTCCCTCAAAGCCCACCACGCTCGAAGTCACTGGGACCTGGCAGACCTGTTCCTATTACCAAGGGACCCCCATGTACCTTTGAAATAGAACCAACGGTCTCTTCTTCCACACTCGCCCACATCTCCTTCACCATCTCCCAAAACACAAAAACACACAACAGACACTGGATTGAGCAAGGTAAAAATTACGAGATATAACTTCCCCACACTACCACCACCACCACCACCAACTGCAAACGCGCTATATAATACAAGAGATACATATCCATTCCATAAACCGTAATATCCCCCAATCACTCTCTTCATCATCCCTCTCATCCACGTCTCCCTCGTCCCCTTCAGGGAACCACGACCCCTCCAATAAGCGAGCCCAAAGGCCTCTCCTTTCTCTTGCCAATCCGCTCATCCGGCTCCCCTCTATCGCGTCAAACCAACACGCCACGCAATCTCGCATAAAACCCATACCGCATCAAACCAAGCCAAGCCAAATCTCTCAACAGACCCATGAATAGGCAACAGACTGCACCGTACGCCCTGACCAAGTAAACAGAAGAACCCCGCCGCCCACCCAGTCCATAGACACCACCACATAAACGCTCACCCCCGACATCCCGTGCCCCCTACTGCCCCAAATTTTGGCTACAAAGTATATTCCAAGGGGTAATAATCGGTATTGCTGATGTAGTTGTATATGGTATGGGGCCCGTCTCGAGAATGAATAGATGGTACGCCAAAGGACGTCTGAATCGCTGAATGGTAAAGACGGGTAAAAGACACGAGATGTAAGTCGAGAAGAAAGTGAAGTGAAGTGTAGACGTGTAAAGCCGTTCAGTCCATGTCAGAGTTGTCCAACGTATCCTAACCGAGGAGACGTATAACCCGCGTTCATGTGCTGTTCGGTACGACTATCTCCATGTCGAAGAGGAAGCTCGTGGAAACGCTCATGACGTGGCTAACCATCCCAACCAGCACAGAAACCGCGAATCTGATAGGGAGGCAGTGGTTCCCACCCATCAGATATGAGATGCCACACACAGGACAGATCCCAATTCTAAAGTGCCGGGATAGTAGTCGCTAGCAAGTCGAGTTGATCATATTTCTGTTATTGAGCCGCTTGGGGCCCTTGCTGCTGCTGTGCTAGTTTACCCAGCAAATTCGTGAGCTGTTCTTGATTCTGCTGGAGCTGTCTTCGCGTCTGCTGGAGCTGGTCTTGCGCCTCCTTGAGTTGATCCTGAGTCTGCTTGTGCTGCTCTTGCGCCTGCTGTTGCCGCTCTTGGTGGTCTTTGAGTTGCTGCTTGTGATCTTGCTCCATTCGCACCATCCGGGCTTCCACTTCACGCAGATTGGCCATGAAATCGTGGCTCTGCCCACCCGTGATTTCTCGCAGACTGCCCCCACTGCCGCCGTGGCTGGACATACTCCCAGGCTGGGATGCGGTGCCTGGGGCGGGCATTTGCTGGTGCTGCAGCATACTGGGTCCATTCTTGCTGCCGCCCTGCGACCCTTGCTTTGGAATCATGGGATTGAGTCCGGGTAGCGATGGTAGATGTGGGGCATTGCTATGCGGCAGTGCCAAGGCCATGGGAGACGAGCCCCGGCCAGCATTGCGGCCCATGACCTGTTGCGCCATGTTTGGCGAACGAGGGTTTGGAATGCTCCCTTCATGGTGCCCGCTCAACGCCCCGAGGCGATGGTGGTCCATCTGGCCAGGAGATATGGGCTTGGGGCTCTCGGTCATGCTGCCCTGCGCAAACATGTTCGCGCTGTGTGCGTACTGCAGGGACGACAGATTTGAAGGAGCTGGTTTGGGCGAAATGTTAGTGCTCTGATCGCGCGAATGGTTGCTGGATGCAGGCGGGTACAGCTGGTTGTGGCCCATTGGCGCTCGATTGGCGGCAATGGGTGGGTAGGTACTGGAGTGCGCATGATACGAACCTTGCGTAGAGTTCCCGGTATTTTGCCTCTTACGCGCTGGCTCACTTGCACGTCGTCCTCCATCCGAGTCGTCGTCCATGCCCTCGGGCTCCTGGTACACGACGCCGTCCATTGAGTCGTCGCCCTTGCCGTCCACCATGTCCTCGTCGATTCCGAAACTGGAGCGCCGCCCCGCACAGCCACCCTGCCCCTTGTTGTGTCGGGCGAGGGCATCGCCACGCGCGAACCTGCGGCCACACTTTGCACAATTATGTGGCCGCTCGCCGGTGTGAAGTTTCGTGTGGCGTTTCAAATCATGCAGACGGCGGAAGCGGGCCTGGCACGTGGGACACTCGTAGGGCTTCTCTTGGCTGTGGGTGAGCAGGTGGCTCTTGAGGTTGTGGTGTCGCGTGAAGTCGGTGGCGCAGTACGGGCACTTGTGTCGCTTGGTTGAGGGCGACTTGGGACTGTTCTGGTAGCCGGGCAGACTCAACTGGCGGGTCGGCGCGCGCGGGTCGTGCTCGGGCGGCAGCGGCCCCGGGAAGGTGAATGCGCGATTGTTGGGCGCGTCGCCGGGGTTGAGAGCTATCGGCTGGTGGTGGTGGTGCGGGTGTGGCTGGTGGTCTGGTGTTGACAGACTCGCTGGGCCGGCCGTGGCCTCGAGCGCGGTTGCGGTTGCGGCCGTGGTCGAGTCGGCCGAGCCGAAGCTGGACAGACTGACGGGCGATGTCTGCATGTTGTCGCCCGTGACGCGCTCCGGGATCACGAGCGACTCGGCCGCCTTTTCGAGCTGCGCGCTCATCGTGGTCGGCGGCGGCGGGCCGTCCTTGGGCCGGTTGGGATGCGCCTGGCTATGGCCGAGCAGGTTCTGCACCACGGCGACTGCGGGGTTGGGGTTCGTCTGGCGCGCCTTCTCCTGCTCTGCGCGGCGGTTGTCGCCGAGGGCAGCGGCGCCCGTCAGTGGCTGGGGCGAGTGTCGCGGCGACAGGCCGCGCGGGGATTTTGTGAGGTGGGCGCCGAAGGTTGCGCCCGCGTTGGAGGTTCGAGAGAGGGAGAGGGCCGTCGTGCCGGGTGTCGTGGGCCTGTTGGGCGCGGCGAAGGCGCTGCCGTGCGTCGGCGTCGGCGTGATTGCTCGCGCGGAAGCGGCCATTACAGGATTGTTGTTCGTGGGCAGGCACGGCCGGGGTACGAGTAGTTATCTTCACAGCGATCAGCGAGCGTCCCGTCAAAACATAATACCACACCACACAACACCACACCACACAGGTCCGCCCATCGCAGGCTCCGAGGTATCCTCCGCCATGTCCACGCCCATCACTGGACGCGACGGGCGCCTCAGCAGCTCGCGCATTGCGCCCACATACCTTTGTTTTGGTTCAGAAATGGCAGGTCCAGAGGTTCGCAGTCTCCACCGAATCAAGTCAGTCCGTTCTCATGGCAGCATGCGCCGCCAGCTGGTTCTCCACACACAGTCGACGAGTCGGTGCGCCAGGGCTCGCAATGGCAGCAGAGCGTGGTTGTCGAGAAGATGCAGGCACCGATGCGGCGAGGCCCAGGATGCGACGCGCGGGTTGCTGGGGCCGGCGCAGAGGTTCCAATGGAGCTGGACGGCGTGCGAGGGGACGTCTCCAGGTCCGGCGGACGCGATGCGACCGACAATGAGGGCAGTGGGTGGTGTGCAGGGTCGGGGTGCTCCTCGGCAAACGCCTCAGCAGCAGCAGCGCGAGACAGTGAGGCTGTGAGCTGAGCAGACAACTCGCTTGGCGGCGGGATGTGCAGCGCAGCAGCGGCGGCGGGGGCGTGCAACTGGGGACGGCCGCGAAAGGGGGATAGAGCGTGCGGTCCGGCGCGAGATGGGACGACGGCGGGCGGCGACAGCAGGTGTCGACAGAGTTCGTGGTGAAAAGGCTGGTGGTGCCGATGACGAGGACGGCGGGAAACGTGTGGCTGGATGCTGCGGGCTCACACTTGCAAATGGGGCGCAAATTCGACCACACGGGCCTTAAGCACTGGCGACGCTGCAGCAAAAAGTCCCTGCGATGTGCGTCCGAAGAGCCGCAACAATGGGGAACCTGAAACTGCCCGGATCGCAGCGAGAGAGTTGGGGATGGGGGAGGAGAGA